GTATGGCTGAAGTGCTAGAATTTATTGTAACTACCCAGTAGTTAAGTCATCTCCCATGTCAAGTCTGCAATGCTAGAGCTCGTGCATTTCCTGGTGAAGCCTGGGGGTAGGGTTGAAGCCTGTACAAAACCGGTTCCGAGCCACTCTAACCACCTATCCCCAGGCTTCACCAGGAAATGCACGAGCTCTAATCTAATGTAAGCTCTCATTAGTCAAGTGATCTTGGAATGTTTCAGAGTTGCGACAAAGATGAACCTGTGGTGGAGACTGTTTGGACCGCGACACCCCGAGGCGAGACAAGATGACATTGTGTCTACGCAGCACGTGTGTGTGTTCAAACAGAAGTCCGCCCTACAGCTCGTCAGAGAGCTGATGGACAACAGAGGGTCGACTGACAAGTACACACTGGTCGACCCACGAGAGTATCGGCTCACTCGCCCCAGAAAGTATGATCGCGACCTGCGGTGAATCGTGTCCAAATATGTGAATTACATTAATGTTGTCATTTTATGAGTGTACATAATAAAATAAACAAATTGATTTTGAATTCCTATTTTCCCAGTTTTTGAGTGTTTTAGAATAATGTAGGCCTATATTGTATACATCTATCTAATTATATGAGAAATTGCAGTGTAGTCGAGCAGTTACCGTAAAGCCAAAATATAAAGGCTGCTCATTCGATCCCGAGCGGTATTGATTGATCCAGATGCCATTTGTTGGGCTTGTAAATACAATTTTGGATTGATGATGCTTTCTAACAAAATGTTATAAAATGCTAATAGCACAGAGGTATTTGACTTTTTTATCTTGTTATTTTAACTATTTATTGCAATAACAAAATTTAATATTTTATTTTTACATGTTGTTACACTCACAATAACTTAAGTCAAAAGAGAGTTTAGAAGAGAAGGCAGAAATGAATTCATACATCATGTTATAAATATAAATTTAATTAGAAAAACGTTGAATAAAATTAAGTATATATATATAATTAACAAGTATTTAAATACAATCACACCAAATTGAATATGGTACAATACTTGAGGAAAATTATTTCACTGGTTTCAAAAATTTCAAACTCTCTCGTATTGGAACTGCTTACAAATAACATGAAAGTCTTTGTAAACTAAACATAATAACAAATCAATTTTCCTTTTCTTAACCAAAAGTAAAACACTTCTTAATGCATCAAAATATAAATAATAACTTTTGTTAGTCCTGGACTCTCTAATATTCCAGGGATTACAATACCAGTCTTGTTTACATTCTTACCTATAGATCTTACAGTAACCGCTATCACTAACTCATCACTTAAAAATGAAAATAATAACTTGGAGACAAAAATGGCTTTAGTAATAAGCATTAAATAATTGTTGATTTTAGTTTTACGGTCTGTGTCTCAAAACAAAAATGACACCAAATTATCTAATTACTCTCCAAGAATCTTAACCACAAAAATCAAGCATATAAACCGTCCGATACTATTTTTCTCAATTGAACTTGACATAATAGAAACAAATGCACATGCTAAAATTAGCACCAACAATCGACTGGAGATAGTCTCTACCTGAAAAGTAAGTTTTATATAAAATGTAATTCATTATAAAAATGGGATGAACAAATCCTCCTACGTTTCAATATCAGTCTCAGATTGCATATGACTCTGCATCGAGAAACTGAAAACTCGACGGAGAGAAGACCACTGATTGCGTCGAACCGTTGACCAGATCATTTTGAATCAGTGCGTTTTTTATTCTAAAACAAACACATGGTCAAATTACTATTGAGGAATACACTCTAAAATCTTGGATTAACACGTTCGCTACCACAATTATATGGAATTTACGTTCGCATAGACCAGCGACGCAATTGTGCGTCAACTCGTTTCTCACAATGGACCACCGACGCATATTTGCGTCAGCTGGTCACATTGAAATAGACTAACGACGCACAGTTGCGTCGGTGTTCAATGTTATTAATCAGCGTATTTCTTAGCAACGGTCTATTTTAAAGCCCTGATTTTATCGTATCGGTCTAGAGGGATATCTGCCGCAAATGTGCGTCGCTTGGTCTGTGGATATGACGATTGGGTACGTCACACAACAGTTGGCAACATTGTTTGTTTACATTGTGTATTCCGCGACATCACAGAACAGATGTAAACGTTATAACCTTTGTAGTTTTGGCTAGTGTTTAGTGGAGTTTCTATTTGTTTGTGTAAAATCTTGAAACAACCAAATTTACAACGACGCTTAGGTGCGTCGCCTGGTCTATTGAAACGAAAATGTAATCTTTTTAACTGGATTTCATTAAATAGACTAACCGACGCATATATGCGGCGTTTTATAATTTGCTCAAAATGATAAATAAAAACAATATTTATTGCTTAACAATTCACTTATGGTTATTATTAAGTCAATTAGTCCATTTAAACGATAATTCTCTTTTGGTCTGTCGGCAATGTTATTCCTATATCACTTGGTCTGTAAGGAACGTCATGATTATTCCTTTTGGTCTGTAGGAGTGACCGGACCGACGCAAATGTGCGTCGCTCGGTAGCGAACGTGTTAAATAAATATTTATGGTCATGCAAATTAAATACAAATTCTTTTCAAGATTAAAATACCACAGCTGCAGCAAACCAGCAGACTATGTGAATCTAGATAAATTTACACTTGAACTTGGTTTATATAATTTATTTTTCCTACAGTCACCCGACAAAGTTGGCTTCCTTGTACTGTTTATAGTACAGAAAGCTGCTAATTGCTGCATATTTATACTTTGTCGTACGGTTTATACTTTGGCGCACATCAGGATTCCAACGAAACAACACAAAACAGTGTGGTTCTATTATGCACGTAATCCGTGTACGCTTGGAAATAGGTTGGCAACACTTGAAGATAATAATACTATGAGCAGCTGATTGACTATTATATCTACGATTTAACCTGTAATTTCGTGTTTATAGTTTATGTTCCCTTTTCGGTCTTTCTGGACTTTTCTTTTAAACGTTTTAGAAACATTCCTACGATCTTAATAAACAAGAAAATACCGTTAAAGCATTTTTTTAGGCGCGGAAACCATTGCAAATTTAAAAAATACGAGAGCACGCCCCGTGGTCGAAAAATCGACCAAAAGTATGTTTTGTGCAAACTTCTCTATTTTCACCCCAACACTGTTAAATAAAACATGTGATTGGAATGTCTTCCATTTGTTTGGATTTTCTGTTTATATTTTGTTGTTATTTCGTCATCACCATAGCAACCCATAAAACCCATGTTAATTTTTTAAAATTTCAAATTCATTTTTTGTGCTTATTTTTGTGCCTATTTTAGTTTATAAAGGGATTCTGCACACCTACAGGAAAATAGCTTTCTAACAGTATGCGTAGATTTTCCGTACGATACACACGAGCTGAGAAAAAAGGTTTTAAAGAAACATGCTTGCCTATTAATATATAGATAGATAGATATGGAACTATTTTCTCAAGTCGCGGAGCACATTGCTTGCCGAGGAAAAAATAGCGGAGTGATACGGACCGGGGACTACTTTCTCTAGGGCACCTATTTGTGTTGCCAGCTGAACCTAAAAACGTGTTGTATAGTGTTTGAAAGACTAATTATTTATATGCTTTATAGTGACTGTAGGAAAAATATAATGTGTAACACAAGTGCAAAAGGCCTTTGCTGCACTCGAGATCATTCCGCACTCACCTGCGGCTTGTGCGTAAACTTTGCTCTCGTGTGCAGCAAAGTGCCACTTTGCTCACTAGTTACACAAAAAACTAATTTTTAAGACAATATACAAATTGATTGTTTTTTCTGTCATTATATTTGTGACCCCAAAAAGAAAATGTATGCAGCCTACTCCGAGAAAAGTACCGATCTAAATTCAAATTATTTTCCTGTATTTACTGGATTAGAGAGAATGTCTTTAGCTATTTAAAACACGGCCTAACTACTTTGGAAGTAGAATATAAAATGTTGGAAACCCCAGTTTTGTGCAACTTCTGTCTAATTTTCTCCTATGTTTTTACCACATAATACATACGTCATTTATCAATGTCAATCATCTATTTAAAGAATAGAATACATCATCTGTGAAATAACAAACAGTTGTTTGGCAACGGTTTTTCATAACACAAATTTGGTTTTCTACAATAAGTTATAAAAATTTGTTTTGAGTAATGGTTTTAAGTTGTTTACCTAGGACAGTTTTTTAAAGTAGCCGTTTCAATTCAGTTTTTAGAATTTAAAGTTTCACATAACATCATTGTTTACTTTCATAACTCATAACAACATGGACCAATGAGGTTCAAGGATTGAGAGAGAAGAGTTTCAAGGATTGAGAGAGAAGAAGTAAAATTGTAATGATTCGAACTTCAACTAACCAGCTGTTCTGTGGTGGATCCAAACTTTTTGGGGCTCTGGGACTTTGGTGGGGCCCTACTAACCGGGGGTCTGGGGGGTCTGAGGGTCCACATTACACAGTTTCTGATGGGCTGTATACTAATGCTGTCACATCAGCCCAAACCCAAACAATCCAGACATTTAACACCCTGGTACTTGTTACACTCCGCCTTGTATTAACACAGTGGCCTCTGTTGGGAGGCACTACAATGGATAACTTGCCCACCACAGAGTAATATAATGGCTTAAGTATAGTGAATTAGTGATACACACCAACATTACTGGAACTCAGCTGATACAACATCTACACTTTTAGGTTAAGTGCAATCAGTTTGGGGTTTAGTTAATTTGCAATTAGATTTCATGCAAAATCCTTCGACATTCTACCAACAGGAGTTGTAGTTAATTTGTGATTAGATTTCATGCAACATCCATCAATATTCTATAACATTTTCATGAGTTTGTCTATTGTTAATAGATATAGTTATAAGATTTAGTGATTACTAAGTGGACTTATTCCTCATTGAATACATCCTACTATTGTCAGATTTAAAATTCCACCTCCACCAAATTATTAGAAAGAATAATTACCTAACATTTTTAATCATTTGCTTCTTGTAGTTTCAGAAGCGGCATTGAAACGTACGTTCTTCTTGTTCACCGGCTAGGAATTGAAATGTGTTTTATTACATAAGTAATATACCTATTTATTTATACGATTAACCGTCTAAAAGATTTCAAATCAATTGAATTCCATTTTCAAAAATAAACATTACTTTTAGACGATTTCAAACACACAGCCATGATTTGAGTTGTTAACAAAGAGTTGGGAAAATTAATCATACCAACGAATATGTGATGGGTTAAATGATTACTGAAGATAAAACAGGATTTTATAGTTATTGGATTAACAAGAGTTTAGTTTATAGCAGATCTGTCGTTCTACTGCATGAAATTAAACCCGCTTTAGTCTATGGATATATACGACAGGGAGGGTGATTAGAGACTTACTATGGTAATTGTTGAAAATTTAGGAAACAGGGAAACTTTTGCGGCTTGCATTCATTCATCTAATACAATTAACCACAAAAAACCTCTTTCCAAATATTTGGTTTTTTTTTATGCCACATGAAAATTGGAAAATGTTATTAGGTACAAATGTTGAAATCCTGGACAAAATCTGCAACACTTAGAAAGATTTTCAAAATTAATGTTTTGTTTGAAACTTTATGTTACTTTTATTTTTGCCATTTCCCCGTGTATTTTGTGCTTGGACTTTTAACAATTTTTTAAGGAAGTCTATTTGATACAAAAATGAATTAAAATGAATGAAAATCTCAAAAAATCAAAAATGAATGAATGTGTCTACCATATACACAACCCACAGCTTGGCTCTAGTCTGGAAAACATTTTAGCCAATTCTGTACAAACACCACGTACTGTACACACACACACTAGTAGTGATAGGATCTCTTACCTTGGTCTTGGATTCCATCAACTCTCTGACTTTGCTCTTCTCCTGCTCCAGCAGAGCTACCAGTCTTGATACTTCATTGGACAGCTCATTCTTCACCCTCTCTAGATCATGCACCTCTACCAATACTTCTGCCTTGTCCTTCACTGTAACCATATGACTTACAATGTGTTACTCACGAAGTGTGCTATTGTCAAAGCTGGATTTTCTCTCCTACTTTCCAGCTATTTAGCAAATGCCAGTGGCATGTTTGAAAGGTTCATTAACACAAATGTTTTATTTGTGTGACATGAAAGGTGTTACAGTTTAGCTTGGTAAAAACGTCCGTAGGATTATACAGGGTGAATCAGACCACCTGTGCACATACTTTAACGGGACATACAGCCGCTTGTGTAACTCACTGGGACGTATTGATCAGGTATACAAATGTTTACCCACGTCTAGAATAGCTAGGGATCTGAATTTTGTGGAGGTCTGTCTTGGTCCCAAACCACCCAGAAAATCCTAAAAAGTTACATTTTCAAATTACATGCCCCCCCCCCCAAAATTCCCTTAAATCCCACTTATTTTAGAAAAACATGTTTTTTTTTTTAAACGGCTATAGCTCAAAAACGGCAAGAGCTATTAAACATTTGAAAGAATTTTCATGGTCAGGAATTGATCTTTCTACAAGACACTCTTAGGTGTTTTTGAAAATCACACTCCTTCACCTTAAAAAAAAAAAAAACGCCCTACTTTTTTTAGATCAACACTCCCTGATGGTGGTTTGATTCAACTACTCCCCTTTGCAAAACTAAAACTGGGTCTATAAGGTTGAAATGGGAATAATGGTGTTTGTAGTACTTTCTATCATAGTCAAAGTGATGTGCTAAAATCAATATATTAAAATCTCACAATCTAGAAAACAAAAAATATTGTTCCCTATAATACAAATCTTTTTTTAACATGATTTCAAGTGGTGTTGGAATTTAAGTTTTTTTTTATATATTATCTTCTATGAAACACCAACAATCAACATCATCAGACAAACATCGCTATTGTCCCTGGTAGGCCTAGCCTACAGGTTATGGCAAAATTCTACTTCAATTTTTTAAATTGAACAACAAAACGGGGAGTTATTTAGTTGAGTATGCTTATATAGTGAATGCTACTTACTCTCTCCTTGCAGTAGAAGTTGACATAGCTTTTTATTTCTATTTTTAACATTCATCAGCTCATCATGTAAACTGCTATTCTCGTTTTTCAGTCTTTCTATTTCCTCTTGACACTTTTCCAATCGGTCTTTGAACTGATTAGCGGAAATTATTTCATCAATTAGAGGCTGCAACAATTTCAGAAAATAATTAAGAAAGTATAAAAAGCAGACATCCATCAACGTTTTGTGTTTCATTCCCATATCACAAAAACAAAATTATATAAAAAAAAAAAAGTTGAAAAAAATTCTTAATTACTCAGTCACACTTTCAAAATGGCAAATATTACAAACTTATCATTTATTAACTTAGCGTTTATTATTAAGTTAATGGAATCAGATCAGTTAAAAAATAGGCTGCACTAGTAACCTTCCTCAATAACTTGTATCTCTTCAAAAGATACTTAGACTACATTTTACTAACCTGTCTAGCCTTTCTTTCTTCTTCAGCTTTTTCTGTTTGCAAGGCTTTTTTTGCCTCTGACTTTATTCTATTGAAAAATTCTGGATCAGGATTTTGATTTCCGTTTACAAGATGATCACCGGCTGGTCCAGCCTCCTCAACCTGCAAAGTGTAAGCAAAAAATCATCTCCAAAAAGTCTACAGAATCTCATTATACGACTGCTTTACAAACAAACTGAAAAGGCAAAAGTGAATTATGTAGTTCCTTAAATCTTCTGTAAAAACTGTTACACACCCACCATTATTATAAAGTAGAAACCAATCTTAACTGTTTTGGTACCACTTAGTTTCATAACACTATTTTTAGTTTAGTTCAGTAAACATTTTATATGCATGGTAAAGTTAATTACTACATTATTGAATCTTACAATAAGTACAGTAGAACTTATCAATGGGAACAGCCCTGGACAAATAACGATTTAGAAGGATAAACCAACCAACTGTTAAAACTTCCCCAGTTAAAACCAATTAACATTATAGAATTTGAGTTCCTTAAAAAAGCTTAAATTTCATTTTAGGTTATTTATTGATAAATTACACATTTTACTCGTATTAACACAACTAGCTACTGAATCTAAAACAAGCATAGCCCTACTCCATATACACAGACAGGAACCAGTCAATGTTGTAGATATAGACTAAATCAATTTTAGATAATTTGTAGGAACACACTAAAAAACTAACTTGTTAAAATACAATTAATAAATAAGAATGCCTATTTGAAAGAATACAGTAGGCCTACCTGATTTTCAACACCGAGTTGATTAAACTGGCTCAAACTCATGGGTTGGGCTTTATTTGATTTTTTATTTTTCTTTGAGCCCGTCGCCTTCTTCTCTTCCTCGGCAGCTTTCTTCATCTGGTCATAATGTTCCTTGTTTTCTTCATAATCCAGTTTTGACTGAAGAATTGCTTGTTGTAACTCGTTTTCGTAGTGGCAATCAACAAACTAAAAATAATAGTTAAAAGCAAATTATGTACATTTTCAAATTGACTGCAAGTATTTTTTAGGCATTTGTACTTGAAAACTAAATGTAAAAAACTAGTCACTGATGAATCTAAATTGTTAACCTTGCCTTTGTGAATTCACTTTTATTTCAGTCAATGACTAGTAAAATATCAAAAATTCAAATACAATGTGTAACAACAATCTGACACATACTTTCTCCAATCAGCTTGTCGACAACCCTTTTAATGAGCAAGCGGTGAGTAACTATAATATTACATACATTCTGGTATGTTTTTTTCGTGATAGAATTATCAATGTTATTCTTGGTTTGTCAGTTACTCTTCCCTAAATTAAAATTATACACAATTACTAAAAAAATAGTATATTTCGGGTTTTTATCAATACCCATCTTCAGCTTCTGTTTAACAAAATAACATATTAGGTAAATAAACGATGTTATCTTACATAGATTAAGGAATTATCCTTAATAACTCCTGGCAAATGCCCTATCTTTTAATCAGATAATTTATAACAAGAAATTCTGATTTTGATAGTTTGGGGTATTTACCTGCGCATCTTTTTCCTTCCATTGTTGCCATTGATCCTCTGGTTTTTTTTTCTTGTTCTCGCTCTTTGGCTTTGCTTTATTGGCTGTACTTCCCTGTAAACAATAAACATGATAATCTAACTAGATAATGGAGGAAGGAATCCATTATTAATAGACAGGGTGTCTGTCTACTACAATTGGGTCAAACAATTCAAGGAGTTTTATAGGAGAAGTCAAGACAAATTCCTGAATATTAAGTACTACTACGGAAATTTATTTTATATAAATTTTGCGATCTCGGCAACACTAGTAATCGTCTCTCTTAACCAGAGGCAAAACCCATGAGCCCATCATGCAGTCTTGGTGGCACCTGTAGTAATCGTCTTTCCCGAACATAGCAACACCTGTGAGTGTCAACAGTACAGAAAATTTAAGGTCGGTATGGTTCGGTACGATACAATATTTTGAATAACTTCTTGATTAGCATCGTACGTGTTATTAAATTACCTGAAAAATACAGAAAATATATATGTCTAATAACACTTGCAATAATATATTTACACTTATACTGTTGACTTACAAGACGGTAAATACATGTAAAAGTTGGTAAGTGGTGATCGATTTTGATTGGACACTCCAATCATCATCAGACCCAATAGGCGTATTGGGTCTGATGATGATTGGAGTGTCCATTTTGACTAGGCCTAATTTCCTTAACTTCATTGTCAAAAAGTTTAGAAAAATTAACTGACCTGAGAATCCTGGTTTTTCTTTCCAGTTTGTTTCTTTTTTGCCTGTTCCGGCTTTTTAATGCCTGTGTTGTTTTGGGTCTTAAATTGTTCGTTTTTCTTGATCATTTTTGCTGTGATCCGTCTAGAAGTATCGCCATCATCATCTATAGGCAAAATAGCAAATCTTGAAGCTGCTGGTGTGACCATTGTTGAGGTGTTGACTGGACCTGTAATGAACCAACTAAGATATAGTTAGTATAAAATACCCCCAACGCAGCAAACCTGCAGATGAAGAGAATTTCGATTTACCTGGCTGAATTTCTACTAAAATAAGTTATTCCCTTAAAATTGTCAGATTTATTTCCTCTTTAAACATCAATTTTAATGAGTACTCTTAATTTTGATGCTATAGTGAAGGTAATAAGGAGTGATTTTATTAAAACTAGAGTAACCGTTACTCAAAATCAAGCAATTGCTAAGTAGAAGATGTGTCACTATCACTCGAGTGCACAATCTAGATGATACCATGGTGAGAGTGGCGTCTCACTATAATCCAGCTGCTTGTAGGAGCGGTTGTATCCGTAAAGAAAAAGCGGCACATTTACAGGCCTCGTGCACTTTAAAATGCAGGTGGCACAGGTCTCTGCCGTCGACAAAGTCTCTTGCACGACAAAATTTCATCAAAATCCAAATTAGTCATGTTAAAAATAATTTTTATTTGTTGATTTCATATGGAATTAACCATGGTTTAACTTTAAAAAACTTAGAGTAAACTTAGATTTTTAACATTCTATAACATTGCGCGCAACACTGGTCGGAACACTTGTAGGCCTAGCTAACTTACATTATAAAAAGTCTGATCCTTCCCATTCCCACTATCATTGATTTACTCATGTAAGTTAGGCTAAGTAAGTAAGTTATGTTTGCCAAATCCCTTAGAACTTTGTTAAGATCAGATTGTTTGAGGTGCAGCTTGGCCTATCTTGCTATAAGGCTCTTAATTTAAATTTAACTCTGTTTAAATCAAACATAGGCCTAACAATTATTGTACAGTAGGCCTACATAAGTAACTGCATCAAAGTCTACCCACCTAGCTAGGCCTACGATTGCAAGACCAGCCTGGGCCTAAGATCGTGCCACTCATCCTACACTCATCTCCATTCATACTTGGCTTTTTAAAATCGCTGAGGATACGCGTCCGGTAACCGAACGTGGATTAGGCATCTGGCAGTGACGTCACGGGGTTGTGGGGGCCCGGAACACCATTACCACAATGATATTTATTTTATTTATTTATTTTTATTTATTTATTATCATCACATCACATCAATGATTGACAGGTGATTTGTCATCAAACTAAAATCTATTGTAACAAAACAACAATCATAATATTCAATACTTAAAAATAATTATACATTTGTTAGGAAATCTTCCAGTGAAAAAAATTCCTTCTCCAGAAGCCATATCTTAAGTGTTTTTTTATTTTTTTATTTCAATATGCAATAAATTTCTTTTATTGTTGAAGGCAGCTTATTATACATTTTGGGTCCCATATATTTTGGGGATAAATGAAATAATTTTAGTCTATGTTGCATTGGTTTTATTAATTTTTTGTATCTTGTATCATGGTTGTGAGAGGGCTGACTCTCCATAAGTCTCAATAATGATTGCTGTATCATCTGCTTACTGAAATATTGGCATTTTTGATACACTTCCTAGGTCGTTTACAAATAAAATGAATAGACATGGTCCAAGAATTGATCCTTGAGGCACTCCAAATGGAACATCCTCCCAATCTGACATGTAATTATTTTGAAATTTGTTTATTATTATCCTTTGTTTACAGTTTTTCAGATAAGAAGCAAACCATTGTAATGCTACTATATTTTTTATTCCATGTCTACTTAATTTTTCAAGAAGTATTCCATGATCAACATAGTCAAAGGCCTTGGACTAGTCAAGGCCGTTTTATATAATTTACGTTTTACAGCCATCGGTGTTCGTGGTGTAGTGGATAGAGTAAGTACTCGGCTGTTGTACAAGAAGTATCTAGATCAAATCCCATCGGTGACACTAACTTTTTGTCCAAGATTTTGCTTAATGCCATTTTTTCTTAACTAGGTATCCATCTTTAGTTAGAATTTGAGGCAATTATAATTCTATTTGGGTAGACTTCTGTATCTGTTGTCAAAAACAACCGAATGAAAATATTGGTTATTCAATTGTTTCATTCGATATATTGTTTTGTTAGTTAGGTTAACCTTAGGCCTACCTATAACTAACCAAACAATATATAGGTGGATATTTTCATTCGATTGTTTTTGACAACAGATACGGAAGTCTGCCCTTTTATTTTATGAACAGAATTTAACCTTCATTTGATTTATTCATCAACAGCGAGTTTGGTTTGTTAGGTTGGTGTTGTGATCAGAAACCTAAATACCGTAAATCAGGCTAGACCCGGACAGGGGGTCTTGACCCGGACAGACAGCGCTTTTCTACAAACTACATTACCCTATTTGTAAACTAACCTGCATCAATAATGGCCTGGTTCTACGTCACTAGACAGAAAAGAACATAGTCGAATCAACTGCACCAGTTAGAATCACGTATTTAACCTTTTTTGATGTCAACTAACAGGTCTACCAACATTCATTTTTTTCCAAAATGAAATATGCATGTCTAACTTATATGTATAGTTTTCATAATTATTGTCGTGTCGGGTTGTAACTGGTATGAAAATATTTAGAATTTAATACCGCATTATTTGATGCAATTTAATATTATACCCCGTATATATAAATATATATAATGCGCTTTTTACGTTCACTGGTTTAGAGTCGGACACTTCCAGCGTTCTACTCCGTGGCAGCGCTTGTCGCCCGGTGACTGCTCGAACATTGGATTCCCGCCCAAAATTAGGCGCTTTCTTTACTACCTAACCTACCCATTTTGGTTATGTTATGTTACGTCTCAACTCTTAATATTGTATAGTACCTAGTTTATGAAAGTTTATTAGTTTTTTCGCTGTGATTCATCATGAGTGCTTCAAGATTACAATTAATTGAAGAAGCGGTGAAGGAAGTGAAAGAAAAGAGACTGAGCATAAGAGCTGCGGCAGAGAAATATGGTTTGCCGAAATCTACTATAAGCGACCATGTTACTGGCAAACATAAAGGCACTCACGGAAGGCAGCCAGTATTTACTACAAAAGAAGAGCAGGTGATGGCAGCCCACATTAAGAAGGTGGCGGAATGGGGATTTCCGTTTACAAGACTAGAGATTAGATTTCTAGCAAAACTCTACCTAGACAAAGATGGAAGGAATGTAGAAGTAAAAAAAGGACAATTTTCCCGGTGAGGATTGGGTGGATGGCTTCATGAACAGGAACCATGATCTTCGTCTGCGGATGTGCAGATAAATTAGGCTTATTGCACCTAAAGTAGGTGCAAAAAATTCTTAACGGTAAGACCATTTTCTTTAAGACGTTTGCAAACTTCCCTAAGCTTTTGATAATGTAATTCATCATTTAACTTACATCTGTAATCAAAATGTCATCTAGAAAGCAAACTACATTCGGTAAATTTTGCCAATTGATGGGCTGTTTAAGTTTTTAATTACAACAGATTATTATTTTTCAGATGAGTTCAAAAACCTTAATGTTCATAGTTACAACTCAAGGCAAATGTTCTTTATTGTGCCTAGAACAACAAATAAATATTCTAAAAGAACAAGGGAATATTTAGTTCCATTCTTGTTAAACAGTTTACCAGTACAGCTGAGGAATATATGTTACTGTGGAGTTTTAAAGAAGAAGTTAAAGAATTTATATCTAGATCTGAGTTAAAGATAACTGTGTTTCATATTTTATCATTGTTGTTCACTGTTCCAAATGTTTATTATTGTTACTTTTTTAATAGATTATTCACTGTTCACTGTTCCAAATGTTTATTATTGTTACTTTTTTAATAGTTTTAAATCTGTTTACTACTGTTACTTTTTTCATTGTTTATTAATCTATATATATAAAAGGCAAAGCCCTCACTGACTCACTCACTCACTCACTCATCACTAATTCTCCCACTTCCCATTTAACTAGGAGGCTGAAATTTGGTACACTGATTCTTTAGGCATTAAATAGGAAAACTAGCCTAAGTTGTTTTTATCCTGATCGGACTCTTGGGCTCCGCCCCAGTGGCTCTGGAGTTTCCCATGTTAACCGTATGATTTTTCATATTTAAAAGGAATAAATGAATCTTAACAGCTGTTTCAATTAAACAAGTTGGTTCTATTTTATGATGTTCAATAGCATTTTAGTTACAAGGATTACCAGCAGGGTGCAGCACTATTATTTTTTTAATTCATGACAACAGCTAATTTGCAACCAAAAGGTGAGTGAGCGTAGCGAACGAACTTCAACCTGGAGGCGAGTTAGCGTAGCAAACGAGCTAACCTGAAGGCAAGTGAGCGCAGCGAACGAGCTCCAACCTAAAGGTGAGTGAGCGTAGCGAACGAGCTCCAACCTAAAGATGAGTGAGCGTATAGCGAACGAACTTCAACCAGGACGTGTGAGCGCAGCGAGCGAGCTCCAACCTAAAGGTGAGTGAGCGTAGCGAACGAACTTCAACCAGGACGTGATTGAGCCATGCGAACGAGCTCACGTATGAAGTTAAACGGGGCAAAGCCCGCGGGTACAGCTAGTAATTGTTAAAATCGGACTACTTTAAATTCTATGATTGGTTTGGTATATTATTGAATTCTTAAAGAAAAACAAGGGAAACAAAAGACTGATTGAATAACAAAGACTGATTGAATAAAAAAAAAGCACTGTGAAATAACAAAATTAGAATAATTGCTGCAGACAAGCCATATTGGCTTTTGTGGCTTGGAATTGTATGTGTTGTAAATTTGTATTTTTTGGAAATAAAATAAATATAAAATAAATAAATCTTGTAAACATTGTTCAATTCTGTACTGAAATATACTAGTTGCGGAGGAGATTCCAAATATTCTTTGAAATCTTCTTCTTAGCATTCTTTGATAAGTAAACAACCCTTTATGCGTTCTTATGGTGCATAGTTTTTTAGACTCTTCATCTAATTCAAGTTGCATATATGCTTGGCACAGATCTATCTTACTAAATTTTTCACCTTTCTGTAAACTAGTAAACAAATCATCTATTCTAGGGATTGGGTACTTTTCTACCTCTAGACTTGGGTTTAATGTA